TAAAACCTTGTCAATTGTTTATTTCTGAAGTTTCCATTTAATATTTTCAGAATACCACTTGCTGCAAATCTTTAATACCTGGAGAGTGACCCTGAGGAAGTAGAGAGCCTGACGCACATGTGTGGTCTCCTCCAAGCTCCTGCTACATGGGCAGTGTCTGGACCTCACGCAAAAAGATGAGACCCAGGCCACAGCCTCTTCCCAGTACTCAGGGACAGCAAGACGAGGTCTAGGAGAGTGCTGAGTGCCTGGAGAAGATGGCCGAGGCAGAGAGATAAATGCTGCTTCTGGATCACGTTACACACAGAAGGGTTAGTGTGAAAAGCTGCTTGAAGTGTGCCATAAGTCATGAATGGATTTCCCTGCAAATAAGACGTAGGAGAAAATTCCAGTTCAGGTAAATCAGTGTGGCTACTGTTTCAGTGGGACACAAGTGAGGCCATTTTGTGCTCACATCAGAAATGTCAATATGGCCCTGACCTCGAAGTCTTATTTTTCTACCTAGATATTATTTAATGGATGGGGAGATACACGCATAAATGCAGTATGATATAAAATAAATTGAAACAGAGTAGGAAGTTTGTTACATTTTACTTTTTAAATAATTTTATTGAGAAACAAAAAGCCATGAGACAGTTTCAAAACAGATTACTAGCACAGTTTCTATAATTAATACATTGGATATTGTTGTCTTCTTAGTGGTTATTAATAGTACAAGATGCAGACATGACATCTTTTCCATAAACACTATTAGTACAAATCTTTGGATTCATTGAATTAAGAGAAAGTAGCTGTATATCTATCCTATTTTAAATATACAGATACAAAATGGTCCTTCATTTGTATCCCCTTTTCTTGTTTATTTTTGTCAGAGATGGATATTCCATTGTCATTTAAATATTGTAGGTGCATTCAGATCTGGTACAAGACAAGAATGTCCTCTATCACCACCCCTATTCAATATAGTTCTGGAATCAGTAGCTAGAGTCATTAGACAAGAGAGAGAAATAAAAGGAATAAGAATAGGTAAAGAAGAAGTTAAACTATCATTATTTGCAGATGACATGATACTTTACTTAGAAGGCCCAAAAAACTCCACCAAGAAGCTACTAGAATTAATACAGAAATTCAGTAGCATAGCAGGTTATAAAGTCAATACACAAAAGTCAATAGCATTCCTCTACACAGACAACAAACACACTGAGAGGGAAATTATAAAAACAATCCGATTACAGTAGTACCGAGGAAAATGAAATACCTTGGAATTAACCTAACTAAAGAAGTCAAAGATCTTTTCAAGGAAAATTACAGTACTCTGAAAAAAGAGATAGTAGAGGATTTCAGAAAATGGAAAGATATTCCCTGCTTCTGGATGGAAAGAACCAACATTGTGAAGGTTTGTTACATTTTAAAGCGATAATCTCCGGCTGCCTGAGCCTGTGTGAGAGACCTTGATCCACCCTGAAGCAGCGCTGCCCCCGTGTGGCCGCATGTGAGAGTACAGTCTCCTGTGAACAACTCCCTGTGACTCTGTTTCTATGAATGGACTTTATTTTATGTTTCAGTTTGTGTTGTTTGTGTCTGTGATGCACAACAAATAGATTCTATACACATCCCGCATCCAGTTCAGTTTCTTTTTCCATGTCTTCCATATCCAGACTCCCTTTTCGCCTCCACAAAATCTGTCTGGCTGCATCCTATCATCCCTTTATTTTCTCTTAATTGTTTAGAGTTTGGTTTGTCAAGCAAGAGAAACCATGTGATGCAAATACACCTGTATCTGGTTTATGTCACCTAGAATTATGGGCTCGAGGGGCATCAGTTTTTCTACAAATGACTCAGATGTATCCTTTAGTACTGTGTATTGCCTTTATCCACTCATCAGATGACGGGCATACGAATGGCTTCTGTTCAGCAACCCCTACCTCACTGAAGTAAGCAGTAGTTAAATCTTCTTCTTGGACCAATAATTACTTTAGATGAAAGGAGATTTTGCCCTGCTGAGGTGAGCTAGAGTATTTGCTGCCATCAGCTGAGGTGTTCTTTTCAGCGGCATCTGGAGGAACTGGATAGGGTGTTAGGTGTATCAGGGAAAAGCGGGGTTCCCCATATGTGACACATGCAGCTCACATGCCCTGTGGGCTCTTGGGAGGCACACACTGGGCCTCAGGGCGAGTTACCACCTGACCAGAGCATCCCTTCCTCCCTTATCTGTGTCAGGTCAGGCTGAAACCTTCACACTGAAGTGCACCTGCCCGTGCATCGCCTCTACGTTAGCCAGAGCACTGGAGGGTCATGCGTTTTAGTCAGTTTTCTTTACTTTCACACATAATGGTTGTGTAGTGGTATCTTATTGTGGTTTTTTTACTCACATTTTTCTGATAAATGCGATGCAAATCATGCATCAACAAACTCTTTCCAGAGAGGGCCAAATAGTAAATACTGAATTTTGAGCTTTGAAGATCATTCAGTCCATATTGCACCTACTCCTCTCTGCAACTGATGCATGCAGATAGCCCTTGATAAAGAAATGACTTTGCTTTAGTGGAATTTTGTTAAAATAAGTGACTGGATTTAGCTCATAGGCCACATTGTGTTGAATCCTGGGAAAGAGCTTCTTTTCATGTTCATGCATTTTCTTTTATGAAATCTGGCTCAAGCATTATTTTCATTTTGAAATTCATTCTTTTGCTGAATTGTAAGGGGATAGACAGACAGACAGACAGACAGACAGACAGATAGACTTTCAGCACCATGTGTACTTTCAGCATTTTCTCCTACTTATTGGATTTCTTTTTTATATTATTAAATAAGTCCACAACTTCTGTTGG